ACCTCCCAGAGCTGTGCTCCCACAGGTGTGGATCTCGGGGCATCGCCTGCTTAACGCCCTCCCAGCCGCTCTGTTACCTCCTCCCCTTAGGTCCTTAGGAAGGAGGACAAGGCCCCTGGTCATCAGCACCTGCCTCCTCCTCCTCCTCTTCTACCCCCTCCTCCTCTTCTATGTCCGTCTCCCACGTGCCCCGCCCTCCACGCCTGCCTGCCTTAGGCCTTTTCAAGACCCCATGGCTCTCCCCTTCTCCTGGGGGCATGTTTCTGAAGTTGCTTCTAACCCTCCCACCCCACCGAGCTGAGTTACAAACCCACAGTAACTGGTAGCAGATGGCAAGCCCTTCACGCTGCCGGCTGGATGGGCTCTCCAGGTACAGGAGGCATTAAACGGAGCTCACGTACACAGGGGGCACTAGACGGAGCTCACATACACAGGGGCACTAGACGGAGCTCAGAGAAGCCAGCCGACGTGCCCAGTGACACACCCACCCTAAGTGGCAGAGCTGTGACCAGAGCCTGGACTCCTACCCCGTTCTCCTGCATAGATGGCGACGATTTCTGTCATTTCGCCCTCTAAGCAGAAACCTCCCACCTACCCTGTCCGCCCTGGGACCTCCTGTCTTGTCACCAGATGAGCTCCATGAGGGGCCTGGTGCAGGGCCCGCACAGAGGCTCCATCGAGTGGCTGCCCCTGCCTCCTCGCTGTATACAATAGCCACGGGCCACGGCTGGGGCTGGGAACCTGGTGGCCCTGGGCTCCGGCATCCCCCCACCCCAAAACCGCCTCCGTCTGGAGAAGGGGGGCTTGGCCACGGGAAGCAGCCTCAGACCCTCTCCCAGCTGCCCTGCTCTCCTACCTGCAGGAGACGGCGCGCTTACTGCCTACCGCTTACTGCTTACCGGGACTCGGTGGCCCTTGTCTCCTCCGTGGAGATGGCTCCCCCACTCCAGGCTCAACAGCCACTAACTGCCCGCTGGCCAGCATTCCTGACCTCTGATTGGGCCCCGTCCCTGCCAATCCCCCCGGATATGGAATTTCTGCTCCTCACAGAGTCCGAGGGCCAGGCCTTCCTCAGCAGCCTGTTTCATTCATTCACCGGGGGCCTCTGGTCTCTTCGTAGGACAGAACCCCACTCTAACCAGCACTGCACGATGTCTCCTGAGTCCCCCCAAAGAAACCATGCTCCCCACCCTGTTCCAGGGTCCCCCTCAGACTGTGACCTCTTCGAGAACAAAGAGTAAGTGTTGTTGCTTCTGTTCTACACCCCCACGGCGTAGGATGGGCCGCAGAGGGACAAGTAAGTGTCTAGGCTTTATCACTTCGTCCCTGGACCATCCCCCAAGTCCTTCCTTGAAACTCTCCACCCCAAACCTAGGACCTCACACCCATCCTCCACAGGCGCATAGCTCAGGCTCAAGGGGCCTGGGGTATAGCAAGTTGCATGATGTCGCTGCAGCTAAAAGTCTGGCTCCAGGGCCAGGCGCATGCCCTAGGAGAGAGGAGCTGGCTTTGTGGGCGGGGACCACTGGGGGGGGAGGGGCTCCAGCCAACACCCCTCCCACACAGCGGAGGCTCAGACAGGCAGACCCGTGAGGAGAGTCTAGAGCAGCCGTGGGCAAACTACAGCCCGCGGGCCGAATCCGGCCCGTTTGAAATGAATAAAACTAAAAAAAAAAAAGACCGTACCTTTTTATGTAATGATGTTTACTTTGAATTTATATTAGTTCACACAAACACTCCATCCATGCTTTTGTTCCGGCCCTCCGGTCCAGTTTAAGAACCCATTGTGGCCCTCGAGTCAAAAAGTTTGCCCACCCCTGGTCTAGAAGCTGGGACAGGCATGAGGGGTGGGCGTGTCCCCTGGGCTGCTGACCTTGGAGTCTAGGGCCATGGTCGGCAAACTGCGGCTCGCGAGCCACATGCAGCTCTTT